CATAGCAGGGTTTGAGCGAGCGCCCTCGGAAGGATGCGCCCGCCGCGCGCGCTGCCGCTGGGCGCCAGCCGGCATGGGCACCGGGCACAATTTATGCTGCCGTCGTGCGTTTGCTTGCCGGGAATTGGCGTGCAACACACAACCACACCTTGCTCCGCTCCGCTGCGCTCCACCTGGTCGACCAAACGCGATGAGACCAGGCCCTTTAGTCCTTCTTGCCCTGCTGTTGTTGACTACGACAAGTTGTTATTCCAGACCTCTACTGGTGAGTGGCATCGCTAGGGCAACCTGGGTGCGATTTCGCATCTTCAGATCCTGAGAGAACGCTGAATGAGCTTGCTGTTTGCCGGTGCGGAGAGGGGATGCAGCGTGGGTGATTTGCAGCGCAGCGGTGCAGCTGTGTCCAAGTAATGGTCAACCCGCCCGCAGATGCAGCCTCCGCCCGCCGTCATCAGATGCCCACTTGCTCAGATGATTGCTCGGCTCGATTGTTCTCACTGGAAACATGCGTGCCGCACTGCACCTCACCCCCTGTTGCGCAGGCGGAAAGTAGCGATGGCGTGGGGCCTGCCGTGGTGACGCGTGCTGCTGGCCGCGCCTCCGCCGCCGGCGCCGAGGCCGGTGCAGATTCAGAGGGCCCTGGCAGCGAGGATGATTGGTGGACAGGGCCCAGCAGCACCAGCACTAGAGCCACGGCAGCCATCGCCATCGGCACCGCTGTGGCAACCATGAACAAGGGGCAGGAGTCGAGCGTGGTGATGACGCTGGAGAGCCTGCAGGCGCGCCTGAACCAGCTGGAGAAGCGAGTGGCAGCTGGCGACGCCGGTGGCGTGGAGCAGGTGCAGACAGGCGGCATGCCGCAGGTGCAGCAGCAGCAGCAGGCCGTCGAGGTCCGGGCGGCTGCGGCTGGCCAGCAGGAGCAAGAGCAGCAGCAGGCGACTGGCGGTCGGGAGCAGCTGGAGGCACAGGTGATGGGTGGCCCTGCTGCTGGCTGCCTGTGTGGGCGTCGCATCTGCCTGGGAAGGTTTCGCATGCCCACCACCTGCAACTCGACAGGCGGCTGCGGTGGCTGTGTTGGGGGTTGCCTTGCTGGCACATGTCTGCCTCACCTCCCCGGCTGGGCTGTGCACGGCCCATGCAGGACCGACAGGAGGCACAGACCCGGGTGCAGCCCGCAGGCGCAGGCAGCAGCGCCGATGCGGCGGATGGGCCCTTGTCGCAGGGCAGCGACGAGGACAGCAGCCGGGATGCTGGCTTCGACCAAGAGGAGGAAGAGGAGGAAGTTGAGGAGGAGGAGTGGGAGACTGAGGGAGACGAGGAGGAGGAGGAGGAGGACATCGTCGAGGGCTGGGGAGCTTCATCCTCTGGTGCCAAGAATGAGGTGGGTGACCGTGGGGCAAGGCGGCGGCATCTGTTGAGAGGCCCTCTGGGTACAGCTTGCGAGCACCTTCTGTGGCCACACGGCAATGTCTGCCTGTGTGCCTGTGCAGGGGATGGAGGAGGAGGAGGAGGACGAGTTTGAGCAGGCTGAGGACTGGGATGAGGACTTCCGAATCGAGGAAGACGCCGACAACTGGGATCAGGCAGAGGAGGGGGCCAGCCGTGAGGGTGCAGGCAGGGAGGGCAGCCGCACTGAGGAGGACACCAGCATCGAGTTTGAGTGAGGTGTCTGCACCAGGACCTGAACTGAATTTTCAACCCTGTACAGCTCCTCTGAACTGAACAGCGCGTCACATTGGCAAGATGTCGAGGGCAGCAAGAGTCAACCCTGGCGGCAGCTGTTGTTCAAAGGTTCAAAGGGAGGCGGCACGCATGGCGGACGGTGCTGGGGCTGTTGAACAGGGGGCATCTCTTTGCACGTGCTGTAGTTGAAAACATGCATTTCGATGGAAATGCAAAGTGAAGCCAATGTCCAAGGTTTCTCTGAATTAATAGGGAAGGTGAACTTTCCAAGAAACTACAAGAAGCCATTCTGCTCATTTTGGCTCTCCTTTCAGCACCTGCCCACTGTTCCCAGCCCCAGGAGAGCGGCAGGCACCCTCAAGTACGATGTATCCGCCCCCTGCCTCCGCTCCCAGGCCCCTGGCCTGCCTGCTGCTCCTCCTGGTGGCAGCAGCATCCAGCTTGCCCCTGGCCGAGGGCGCCAGGCGCCTGCACCAGTGCACCGCCAGCTCTGTGGCCATCGCCGGCTCCTCCTCTGAGGGCTCGGTCGCCGACGCCGTCGGGCAGGCATTCAGCGACTGCAAGGTGCTGCGGCCTGTGGGAAGGCCTTGGTGATCACCAACGTTAGTTGCCAGGTGGAGAGACTGGTGCAGATTCACACATGGCTAGCGCTTCAGCACGCCATGTTCCTGCCTCCCCTGCCCCGCCTTCCTGTCCCCGCTGCACATGCAGGCGCTGGCGGCGGACGCGTCATGCGATTCTGTAGCCCAGAGCAAAGCGACGGCGATAGCCAATGCGACGGCCACCGCCCTGGCGCAGACTGCCGGCAGCGTGCAAGGCGGCGAGGGATGCAGGGGGCAGGCGGAGGCGCAGGCGTCCAGCACCGCAGAGGCCTACGCCCAGGCATTCGCCAAGGCGCTGGCCAGTGCGGGCTGCCAGGGCGCAGCTGCCACCACCAGCTCCACTGCGGTGCAGGAGACGTTTGCCAAGGTGGGGTGGGGAGGCTGGGCATACCCACAGTGCTTGCCCGGAACTGCATGAGTTGATCCCCCTGGTGCCCCGCTTCACACCAGCCAACCAGCCGACGCCATCTGTGGCTGTGGAGGTGCAGGCTGCGGCCCAGGCCAGCACACTGGTGTCTGCTGAGAACGGGAGCGCTTCCGGCGGCGCCACCGCCATTGCTCAGGTAGGGCGGCAGGGGGGATGAGGCGGGCAGGCACGGGGGTGTACAGGGGCACCACACTCACACACACCTTGTCCTGTCCCTCCCTCCCCAGAGCATCAATTCCGCCGTGGCTTCCGCCCTGGCCACCGCGCTAGCAAACTGCGCATGAGGGGAACAGCTCCTGCCAGCAGGACCGCGGTCTGCCGACCCCTGCCATCAGTACTGCACAGCCTCTGTTCAGCCATGCCTGTACAGGCCCATGCCCTGCCGAGTGAGCCTTGGATAGCAACTATGTTGATGCGTTGGTTGCTGTGTTGCACCGAGACAGCCCAGGCGCCCATGAAAATTGGGCGGCAATGAAAGAAGTTGAGAAGATAAGTGGGAACAACGGGAGACTCCAAATTATTTCTGGTACACTGCGGGCTGCGTCGCTGGCTTGTGGCAGGAGGCAGAGGTGCGGTCAAGGGTTGCAGGGTGGGGTCTGAACATTATTCAAGCGGGCGCGAAGGGGACATGAGTTGCGGCGTGCGGGGCGGGGAGTTTCGTCTTCTCGTTGGGGGGGGGCGGCAGGCGGGTGCCTGGCAGTCACTCCAGCTTGAGGATCTGCAGCAGCCCCTGGCTGTTGGCCGCCAGGCAGTGGCGGCTGCGGTTGGCCCAGCACACGGCGGAGACAAAGGGCTGGTGGCCCTCGGCCGGCTCGCCCGGGGAGAAGCGGTACTGTGCGGTACTGAAGGGCAGGGAGCGGTAGTAGGAGTACACTGCAGGCGGGAGGGGGGAGGGAGGGGACACAGGGTCAGGCGGGGCCCGAGGGCTGGGGCAGGCGACACACAGCACCTGCCTGTGCGTGCGCAGCACGCCGCCGGCTGCCTGCATGCACCGCTGCGCCCGAGCGCCACGCGCCTGAGTTGTCCTCGGAGCCGCACAGGATGTGTCCGTCCGGGCTGACCGACAGGCCCACAAAGTTGCGCTGGTTGCGGTGGCCGGTGTAGGTGCAGGCAGGGCGGCAGCGGGTGCCGGAGCTGCCCGCGCTGCTGGCGCCGCTGGTGGTGGCGCTGTCCGCGCCGGCCATGACGTCGGCCAGGTCCCACAGCCGCAGCGTGCTGTCTGTGGAGGCGGACACCAGGTGGCTGCCGCCCAAAAACTTGACGTAGGAGACGGCGCGCTGAGGGCCGCACACAACGGCCAGCGGGTGCGCTGCAGGAAGGGGGCAGGGGGGATGGCAAAGGCGCCCGTCAGCACGGCAGCATGCCAGGGCGCTGCCGGCACGCGCCCGGCACCCCGCTGCTTGCCAGCATGGAGGCGCCGCCGCACCGTACGCCGCCCCCACGCCCCCGCAGGCAAGCCCCCCACCCACACACACACCTGTGCGTCGCAGGTCGTACAGGTAGACGCGGTAGTTGGCGCAGCCAAATGCGATGGTGTGGGAGTCGGCGGGGCTGCAGCAGGCAGGCAGGCAGGCAGGCAGGCAGGCAGGCAGGGTTGGACACAGCGCCCCTGCGCGCCGCACGCCGCGCCCAGCCAAGCAGGCCGGGGGCGTCGAACACACGTGCGTGTGCGGGGGGGTGCAGCCTCCAGCGCCGCACCTGAACTGCACGGAGCAGACGTTGGCGGGCGCTGCGATGCGCGCCACGCTGGCCTGCTCGTGCACGCTCCACAGGCGCACGCTGCCGTCGTCGGAGCCCGACAAGAAGCGCATGGGGTCTGTGGTGGAAAAGTCTACAGACCAGACGCGGCGCGCGTGCTCGTCGTACTGTGCCGCCTCGCCCGCCGTGGCTGCGTCCCACAGCTGGATGAGGCCGCCGTAGTCGGAGGTGATGAGCTGGCTCTTGACGTACGAGTTCCAGCTGACGCTGGACAGCTTGCTGCGCGTGGTGATTTGCAGGGCGGGGTAGTGCATCACCGAGTCCTGCCCCTCCAGGCACGCCGCAAAGTCAAAGATCTTGACGCGGCGCGACACGCCCACGGTGGCAAAGAACTCGTCGTCGCGGTCAAACGCGGCGCAGCAGGCCTGCGGGGGGCGGCGGGGGACGGGGCTTAAACACACGCGCTGGCAAGCCGAGGCACAGGCATCACGCTGGGCAGCGGCCTGCTGCCTGCCACACGCCAGCTGGCGCCAGGCCAGGCCACCCACCATCTCCACGGGGGAGGCCAGGTCGCCGCTGCGCAGCGTGGCCTTGAGGCTCAGCTTGGAGTGTGCGGCCAGCTCGTTCAGGTCGCGGGCAAAGGCGTCCAGGTGCAGGCCGCCGCCCGCCTCGCCGCCGCACGCCGCGGGGGCCTGCGCCTGCCGCCGCTGCTGCTGCTGGCGGCGGCGGAAGAAGAGGTCCTCCAGCTGAGGCATGACCGCCGCCACGCGCTGCTGCTGCTCCGCGGGCGGCTCCGCCTCGGGCGCGGCGGCAGCAGCGGCAGCAGCAGCCTCGCCGGCTGCCGGCTCGGCTGCCCCATCGCCGCCGGCGCGGGCCTCCAGGCGTGCACGCTTGGCCGTCGGCGGCTGCTCCTCTGCGGCCGCCGCCGGCTGCTGGGCGTCCTGCGAGCGCCGCCGCCGCACATCCCCAATGTCGGCGTCCAGCGCCGCCAGCTGCCCCTGCGCCTGCGCCACCTCCTGCTGCTTCGACTTGCGCAGCAGCAGCAGGAAGTGGCGCACGGCGTCGTGATCCAGAGGGCCCACCAGCGCCGCCGTCGCCGGCGCAGCCGCCGCGCCGCTCTTCCCGAGACAGCTGCCGGCGGGCGCTGGCTGCTGGTGCGGGGCCGCCGCCGCCGCAGACGCCTGCTGCTGCTGTTGTGCTGCCGTCGTCGCCGCCATGCAGCCCAGCAGGCGCCAGTGCGGCAGCTGCTGCACCAGGCGGAATGCGTCCTGGAGGATACCCGCCCGCAGTACCGCGTGCACCGTGGGGCGACGCGCAGGGTCAGCCTGCAGCAGGCCCAGCACCAGGTCCTGTACCGCCTGCGCGCTGCCCGCGCCGTGCGTGCCGCGCAGCACCGGCGGCAGCACCGCGGCGCGCGCCGCCCGCAGCTGCGCGCAGCGCTGCTCCTGGGAGGCGCAGGGGAAGAAGAGGTCTGCAGCGGGGCAAGGGGGCGCAAGCGGCGGGCTTGGTGCACGGCTCCCTGTGGGCATGGGCACAGCACAGGCAGCACGACCATGCCGGCACCGTCGTCCACACCCCCTGAGCCGCCACACGCTCACCTACAAACAGCAGCCCCAGGCTGAACATGTCGCTCTGGCAGGTGGGGTGCCCAGCCGCCTCGTCGGGGCTCACATACAAGCTGTCCACCTCGGCCGCCGCGGCCGCGTCGCCGCTGCCGCCCTGCTGCTGTGGGGACGGGACGGCCACGCTGAGGCCGTGCAGCTGGGAGAAGAGCAGGTGGGATGGCCGCAGGCACAGCAGCGGGCGCCGCTGCAGGTGCGCCCCCTGCACCAGGCTGACCGCAGCGCTGAACACGCTCTGCCGCATGTGCAGCCCGCCGGCGCCGGCCGCCTGCGGGGCGCTGCGCACCAGCGCATCCACGCTGTCCGCCTGCACCTGGCCGCCAGCTGAAGCAGGCTGCTGCACGTCCTGCGGAGCGTGAGGTGCCTGCGGCTGCGCTGGCGCCTCGGCGGGCGGCGCCGCTGCCGCTGCTGCTTGCTGCTGCTGCCACAGAGCCGCCGCGCCTGCGGCGGCGGCGGCAGCAGCAGCTGCCTCGAGCGGCAGCTGCGGCACCTGGGCTGCGGCGCAGCGCTTGCGCCACACATGCTGCCAGATGTGCTGCACCTCCTTCTTCGTCACCTGCACAACACCCAAGGGGAAGAGGGCATGGTAAAGTCTTCGCAGGAGCGGACCAGCCGCCTGTGAAGGCTTGCAGTCCACCAGCCCGCGCTGCTGCTCTGTGGGCTCACTCACCGGCTTCACCAGGTACTCCTCTGCCCCTTGCTGCACACACTCGGCCACCGTCTCCTCCTGGTCCACAGACGACATCACTGCAGGCAGGGGCGGGGGAGAGGCGTGGGTGAGCTGGGCGGGCTTGGAGCTGCCACCACAACCGCACCTCTTGGCATGTGCCGGCAGCCAGGCCCAGCCGGCACCTGGGCAGACAGTGGCAGCGGTGGCGGCAGGCGCGGCAGGCGGGGCGAGAGGCGCAGGAGGCGGCGGCGGCCACTCACTGACTACAGGCACGGCACGCAGGTTGGCGTCCTGCTTCACGCAGCTGAGCAGCTGGATGCCGTTGAGCTCCGGCATGCACACGTCCTGCAGGGAACGGCAGGCATCGGCATGAGCGGCGGCGGCACCAGCAGTGGCGGCACAGCCGCTCCCTGGCAGTCCTACCACGCCCACGGCAGCCCGCCACCCACCGTCAGGACCAGCTGAAAGGTGTCGGGGGCGCTGCCGCGCAGCAGGCGCAGGGCCTCCAAGCCATCGCTGGCACTGGTGACTGCAGGGAGCAAGGCCAGAGGAGGCACACTGGAGGGTCAGGGGGTGTCGGGGGGCACAACCTGGAGGCCGTCGCCATGTGTGACCGCAGCGGGTTGGGGCGGGCGGCTACCACACATGGGCGGCCCATGCCCTGCCACTGGTCCTCAGGAACGCAGAGAAGGTGTGTGGGGGCCGCAGCCTGGCTAGGCCAGCAAAGCCGGCGCTTGCGGCTGCGGTCGCTGGGCGGCTGTAGGCCCCAGCACCGCCGAAATCCATCGCATCGCTCACCTCTGTAGCCGCACTTGAGCAGCAGGCTCGACAGGACCGTGCGGGTCAGCCGCTCGTCGTCCACGAGCAAAACGTGGCAGGAAGAGGGCTGGCCTTGCTGCGAACTAGGCCTTCTCTTCAAAAGAGGTCTATTGGGGCCGTGGACCTCGCAGTCCGCAGCTTCGCCGCCGGCGAGGGCGGTGGCCACAGCAAGGGTGCCTCCGCTCGCGGCGCCACACATCATGGACCCTCAGACGCCAACGGAGCCTCTGGCAGGTGGCCCGCCGCAATGGCAGCGGCAGGCTTTCGCTTCGCAGCGCGCCTCAGAACCACGCCGCAGACACGCAGGACCACAGAAATAGAGTCTGGTGAGTTGGGAGGAGAATGGGTGGGGAGATGGCGGATTTGGTGGAGCAGAAGCATGTGAGAGGCTTGAAGCAGGCCGCCAGCGAGGCGCCCATCTCAGGCGCCGATCTGGTGAGGCTCTTTGAAGATCACTGGGTCTGATGATAATTTCGGGGGCCAAGTCCCTTGTGTGGACGCCCAACAGACAGAGGGCAGCCAAAATGGGTGGTGCTGCAAGCCTTTCCCGCCTTACTCGGGCACGTTCCGTGGTACTGCACCCCCACTACCACGCTTGCCATCTCGCTAAGATTGCAGTTTGCATGGAGTTATACTGAAGATACACCAAGGGAATGTCACTGCAATGCAACCAGACCCCAACTCGCCGTGCGCCAGGCACGGCGCCAAAGGGCTTGCAGGGCCGCACTCTGCTGACGGGCGGCACATGTGACATAGCCGCCCTCTGCTGCTGCTGCTACTGCTGCTGCTGCTGTTGTTGCTGCTGCTGTTGTTGTTGCTGTTGCTGCTGTTGTTGCTGTTGCTGTTGCTGCTGCTGCTGCTGCGCCCGCACCTGCTGCAGCACCACCTTGAGGAAGTCTTTCAGGGCGCGCACCTCGCTGCCCGTGATGTGCGCCACCAGCTGCTGCGCCGCCTCGGGCGGCCACCCCATGCGCGGCAGCAGCGAGGTGGCCAGGTAGGCCAGGTAGGGCTCGCCGCACCGCGCGTGCACCAGCTGCAGGCTCTGGGCCACCTCCGTCAGCAGCGAGATGGCGGCAGCGTCGCGTATGTCCACGCCCCCGCTGCTGACCAGCCCCTCCAGCAGCACCTCGCCGCCAAACTGCAGCAACACACGCGAGGCAGGGAAAGGTATAGGGAGCGGCAAGCAGCATGTGTGACAGGGTTTCGAGCAGGTGCAAGAGGAGCGGTACGCACGCCCCGCACGCCGCAACAGCCTGCCAGGACCAGGCCAGCGCCGCCCCCATGGCCGCCGCCGCACCTGCTTCATCACGAACTCCCGGAAGCCCGGCAGTGCCTCGCTGCCGTCTGCGCCGCACCACTCCCTCACCAGCTGCTCCACCGCCTGCACACACGTCTTGCGCACCCCTGCACAGCCACGCGAGGACGCACACGGCGAGGGTGAGCGCCGGCGCGGGCGAGCAGTGCGGTGGGCCTGGGGGCAGGCGCGCACTCGGGCTGGCGCCACACCCGCGGAGACAGCAGGGGCGGCGCCTGCACCCGTTCCAGCCCCAGACAGCCCCAGCCAGCCGCCCCCACCGCCTCACCTGCATCCACGTGCGTGGCGGCGCCGCGCATCAGCGCCCCCAGCGCGGCATCCAGGCTGCCCGGCGGCGCGCGCAGCAGCACGGGCGCCAGCCCGTTGTGCGCCAGGCTGTGCAGGAAGGCGTAGTATGCGCGCTGCAGCTCCGCCCGCTCCCGCAGGTCCTCAGCGCTGCCCACCGCCGCCGGCCTGGCGCCGCTGCCAAACTGGGAGGCCGCCGCTGCCGCGCCGCCACCGCCGGGCGCGGGCAGCGCCGCGGGCGAGGCCCTGGCACCGGACCAGTCCCAGTCGGCGGGCAGCAGGGAGTGCACGCGCGCCACGCAGGCGGGAGCCATCTCCTGCAGCAGGTAGGCAGGCAGGGAGGGAGGGGCGGGCGGGGGAGCTGCTGGGATGGCAGGCACGTCACCGAGCGGTGCAGGGCGTGCCAGGAGGCCACACA